ATTAACATCGATCTCAGACCTCACCTTCACCATAGCTGGTAAGAATGGAAACAATATTGTGATACATATTGCACTGCAAAGCTGAAAGAAAGATAGCAATTTTTATATTAAGAATACACCAGTACATTTGAATTGGATTTTTATTTGACTTAAGAGGACTCGCAATGGTTTCCATTGGGTAAAGGCCTTAAATCGCCTAGTTTGTATACCATTATTGCAGTTTTACATGGAAAAAGAATTGTAGTATTGATTCATTTATTGTTAAAAGAGCAAAAAGTATCCTGAAGACAGTTGTCAACCACTTAAATTAAAAGAATTCAGTCAGGTGAAGATCGAACAAGAGTCTCAGAATTGACCAAACCTGTGTTTTTTGTCCCTGAAATTGCTAAGCGATAACACAAATCCCCACCATGCCATGTTGTTTTGACTATTTCGGAACTGAAGAGAACTTCAGAGAATTGTGAACGGCCATTTCAAGTTCATTTATTTAATTATTACCTCAATATTGAGCTACATGTAGCAACCCATGCTGATACTAAAATTAATTAATGTGCTTTATCCAGTCATAACAATGCAAGCAGTTTACACCGCACAAATTTTGAATGCATGCAAATTCTTTCACATTTCTTTACAGGGATTATATTATAAACTTTGACAAAATTTTTTGAGAGTGCTCTAGTGGAGGCTGGGCCTAGAGCTCACAATTTCTTTTAAAAAACCAAAGGCGTGAAAGCCTGAAAATTCCTCCATCATTCTGGAACTAGCTTATGAGCTGGCTCATGTTTCTGCCTCATACAGACTGCATTTGATTCTTGAATGACCAATTGCCTACCTTAAACAACTAGCCTTCTTTAAAAGGTAGAAAAGGCTGTTTTGCTATTGCATGCCTTAATGAGGGGACAAGGAGATTGCCATTTCCCGTATCCAATACTTTTTTACTCCAAGTTCCCATGCCTTCCTAAGAGGTTTATACCTCTTGGTAATTTTACTAGTACAAGATACTGCAAGAAGATACAACATTTTTCTCTATTTCTCCTGGCTGCTGCCACCTAGGAAATCGCAATTCCCACCCCCTTCTCCCATTCCTGCCACACCCGCTTTACACCCTGGTTCTCGCCCCCCTGTCTCCCAATACAAACCCTTGTTAATATGCAATTCACGCAACGTGACAGTATAGAGTAAAACTCGCTTGTCAACAACTGCATGACATGTGGGGCATCTAGAAGGATTATACTCTTCTAAATACGATCCGTCGCAATATTCTGCTAAAATAATCAATCTCAGGACTGATATAAATTATTGAAACTTAAACAAATGCACTTGGAGACAAAAGCTCTTGGCTTACGTAACATGCAAGGAGGATAAAGCCAGGGAAAATTATCAGCGTTTTACAATGGCACGACATCTGTGAAGAACTACAAATGGCAGAATTCCTTCACGCTATTTGAAGTCCAGCTAATTTTCCCCATAATAGCCAACGTTATAACTTAAGAATAAGTTGTTAAGCTGGTTGTAAGCACATCAAGGTTTAAACTGGCCATAACGAAGTAACTGGTAGTTCAGACTAAAATAAATTAATAAGCTTAAAGTTTCACCTACCACAGAGCAGAATACAATAAATAAAATCTTCCAATTCAATGGATTTGTCCCAGGTGGGTATAATATAGCGCGTAAGCGAGATTTTAGGGCATCCATCGCGCCTAAATGATTTCTGCTTACTTGGCCACATTACAAGGTGTCAAAATTAAATACGCCAAGCAACAGATCACGTGACCGAAGTTAGTATCGGAAGTGATGGGCCAATTGGGCCATCATTTCATGGCTCCCAACTTTATTTCTGATTTTCGTGACGGTTTTTATACTGTTACTGACGTTACATTTATTTACTTTATAGATATGCATGTTTTTCGATGGATCTAAAGGCCCTTCATTTTGTAAACAACCCACATTCATCACGGGTTATTCAAGCATTGCAGGAACCGGAACCGGAAATGAAGAGATATCTCAGTGATGCAATACGGCTCAAGACTTACTGAGACTTGCTATAAGGAGCAGTAAAATGCCAACGTAACGAATATAAAAATAGAAACATGCAGTCTCTTAGTGACTAAGCATTTCATGTTTTTGGTTACAAGTGTGGTCTGTGTGATACACTCCATGTCGGCTTCACGAGTCGACCTACATCGACGTGTGGAGGAACATAAGCGATCAACAATCGGCAACCACGTAAAGGATGAAAACGTAAAGGATGAAAACGGAAAGGATCCGGAGACCATTGGAAGCAATTTCGAGATTTTGAAAAAATGTCGGAGTAAACTCGACCGTTTGATTTTTGAAATGTTTTTATTCTGAACAAACAGAGTGACTCGATCCGCACGAAGCTATTTACTTAATTATCTCACTTTTTATATCGTTTCCATCGCCTTAACGTTTTCTTTATCATTTATGCCGCAATTTTCTTGTATTGCTTCTATGTAAATATTTTAGAGTTTTAGTCCGTATCTCGATCATTAGCATTTTCGTAATCGATTGTATATATCATGTTAAGCGCATACGAAAATTCTACTCTTAATGACTTGAAAATGACCGTCGAACGGTCGAAACGTCGTTTTTTTAACGTTAATTTTGTATAGTGAAAAGGAAAAAAATTGCCAAAATGAAAGAAACAACGGGACGGGAGAACCCATGTGAAGCGCGTGTCAAAAAGTCGAAAGCATCGATGGGAACCTAACAATAATGGCCAGATTTGATACAAATTATTATCCTAGTGCACTGAAGCTCTCTTACTGAGACTATCATAGGGCTGTTCACCAATCACAATTTTTGCGTGCATAATGAGGGTTTGATCTCAAAGTGAAAAAGTCTAGCAGACTTTTTTTATATTACGCCACTGGGTCTTGAAAAAAATCGCTTAAAACTTATTGCCCGAAGATGTTGATTACACCGAGAAAACCTAAGTAGCTCTGTTGATGCTCTAAATTATTTCCTAAGGGAGATGGGATGTTGGCCTTAGAACCAATTCAACAGCGAGGAAACACAATAAATTGTCAGTTTCTCAGAGGTTGTCCCCCCGGCAATTCTTCACAATATTTGAGCATAGGGTTGCGGACATTGAGAATGTCTCGTAATGTGGTTTCAGAATTTTCCATCTGCAGGGGAGGGCGAAACAGCTGTCCACTGTTGCGATCCTACTTTATCGGTTCTTGTCATATTGGTGTCTCGAAACGTTTTTCAAGTAGTAT